TGTTCACACCTGCCTATGGCTCCGTCACTAACGTCCGCATCAACAGCACCATGACCACCCCACAGGTCCTGAAGCTGCTGCTCAACAAGTTTAAGGCAAGTTCCCTTTGCTGGTTGTGTGCCTCAGGGCCCTGGAGGGGTGGTGGGGGAAGCTTTGGAGAGTGTGGCTTGGCGGGTGCTGGGCAGAGGATTTGGGTTTTTAGACCCTTGCTAACCAAGGCAAGGCCCACAGCATTAGCATCGCCCAGAAGCTTGTTAGAAAAGCAGATTCTTAGACCCCATCTTAGAACTTTCGAGTCAGAACGCTGAGGGTGAGGCCAGGGGCCTGCAGGGCCCTCCACAGCCCCTTTGGAGCTTGAAAAGCATCCATCCTCGTGTACTTTTATGGGCTGCCATGGAACAACCCCAGGGCCTGACCTCTGGTTTTGGGCTTAGTGCATAGATAACTTCTGGAACACAGGTGAAGACTCTGCTTTTTAAAAGGAGACTTAAACAGACATGCAAATAATAGTGCCTATGTGCTTCTAAGGTACTGTCACCCTGTTTTCTGTATTCCCTTTATAATTCTCTTGGAGACCAAGTATTCTTATTTTTATTTTTTAAATTATTTTTAAGTAGTGTTTTAGTCAGCTTTTCCTCTCTGTGACCAAAGACTTGACAAGGACAATTTTAGAGGAGGAAAAGTTTATTTTGTGCTCATGACTTCAAAGGTCTCCGTCCATAGACAGCCAACTCCACTCTTTGGGGCCCCAGGTGAGGCAGAACATCATGGAGGAAGAGTGTGGCAGAGGAAAGCAGTTTAGGACCTGCTCCTGGAAGCAGAGGAAGAGAAGAAGGGCGGGGCTTCTATTCAACTAGGACAAATAGGTGCCTCCAGGGACCCACCTCCTCCAGCCACACCCTACCACCTACAGTTACCACCAAGTTAATCCCTATCGGGGGATTAGTGCACTGATTAGGTTAAACCTCTTCTAACCCAATCTTTTCACCCTGAGCTTTGTTGCATTGTCTCACTCTTGAGCTTTTCCAGAACACGTAATATCTAAACCATAACAAATGGTGGCTTGCTGTGTTGCCCAGGCTGGCCTCAAACTTCTAGATTTAAGATCCTCTGCCTCAACTTCTCAAGTAGCTGGGACTACAGGTGATTGCCACTCAGCCCAGCTAGTATACTTTTTCTTTTTAAAAAAAATTTCTATAGTTGTAGGTGGACAGCCTGCCTGCCTTAGCATGTTTTTTTTGTTTGCTTTTTTTTTTTTTTTTTTTTTTTTTGTGGTGCTAAGGATCAAACCCAGTGACTCTTGCGTGCTAGGCAAGCTCTCTGCCACTGAACTCCAGCTCCAGCCCTAGTATACTTGTTTTTAATGGAAGTCAGTGTAGCCTAGAACACAGGACCCTGGTTTGAATTCCTGTCCATCACCTGCTAGCTGGCTGAGTCGGACAGGGGACTTCATCTCCTTGGTTTCTGCTTCCTCATTCATAAGAGGAAGATGAGAGTAACATGTTTTGAGGTTGTCAGGAGCACGAGATGAATGAAAATAAATGTAGTGTGTGGAACTTCATTTTACAATAAATGTTACCTATGACTGCGAGCATCACTAGTCTGAAATCTTTCTCCAAGGTAGACGCTTTTGGAACACTGACATAATGCTCAAAAACTTTCTGACTTCAGAGCATTTTGGATTTCAGTGTTTTGAAGATCAAGTTTATGCAAATACTCCAAAATCTGAAAAACTCCAAAATCTGAAATACTTTTGGCCTTAAACATTTTAGGTAAAGGAGGCTCAACCGATATTATCTTTTTTTTAGAAATTGAAATTCTGGGGATAGAAATCAGAGCTTCATGCATGGTAGGCATTTGCTCTATCACTGAGCTACCCCCACCCCTAGCCCTGCATTATCTGTTATTGATAAAGTTATCTGCCTACCCCCATCTCCTTTTAAGAGTTGTGAATAAACAGCCTCCCCTCAAAAGAGCCTAAATCTGGTTTTTTAGTGTTGCGGAAGATGGGATGTCTCAAAGCTGGGATATTTAAATACATGCTTTCAACAAGTCTCTTTTGCCCCTGATTCAGATAGAGAATTCAGCGGAGGAGTTTGCTTTGTACGTGGTCCACACCAGTGGTGGTGAGTCTGAAGAACACAGTGTACTTTAAAACTTTTAATTAACTCAAAATAGCAAGTTAAAAAAAAAATACCTCTGGCTCATTTGGTTGTTGTTTAGGTTTTGGAAACTTCCAAATGTTGGCCTCCAGGGTTGGTGGGCTTGCTGGATGAGAATTAGAATACCACTGAATTAGAATACCATATTTGGGCAGTAAACAAACCCTAAACTCTAACTGCCTATTAGAGAAGGAACTGGACTTTCTGGAGAGACAGATAAAGCCAGTTCTTCAAAGAGGCTTCTTCTAAAGGGTTTGAGGCAGGGGAGCCTTATTGAGGGGAGAATGTTGTTTTTAACAACACCTGCTGAATAGTTCATTTACAAATCAATCACTTAACTTGTATGACCACATCTCCTAAAGTGCCTGGTCCATTTGGACCCCTGTGTTGACCACTACTTATGGTGAGAAAGGTATTACAAGCTGAATTCAAGGATGTTCCTGGTTGTGTGTGTTTCCAGAGAAACAGAAGCTGAAGACCACTGATTATCCCCTGATTGCCCGAATCCTCCAGGGCCCATGTGAGCAGGTCTCCAAAGTGTTCCTGATGGAGAAGGATCAGGTGGAGGAAGTCACCTATGATGTGAGTTCCCTCCTGGTTGGGTGGTCTATCTTCAGAGGATGGGGATTTTGTTGGGGTGGAGCATGAAATTCCTTCTGGCATACAGTTGGGGACCCTACCGATACCTGGCTTTCATGAAGCCAGTTGAAGGTATAATCTTTGGGAACTGTTGGAGGAATCCTCTGGCTGAAAGTGATTTCCACAGAAGAAACAAATTTCATGAGTCTTTCTAGGATATTGGAAGAGGTTTGAGAGGTTTTATAAACACCCTCTTAAGAACTTCAAGAAGTATTTTTACCTTATGTATTAAGGTAAAAGAAGTTAAGAAATGTTTTTACTATATGTATGAGTCAGGTTTTGCTATAATAACAAATATCCCCAAATCTTAGTAGCTTATAACAGCAAACATTCACTTATTTTGCTCATGATTTTGCTGACTGGTGTCAATGGCTTTGCTTTAGGTTATAGGATAAGTTCATGTCTTCATTGTGTTTCATTCAGAGACCCAATCTAAAGGGTCTCTGAGGTATGTTCCTTATGAGTGATGGCTGCAGCATGAGAAACCAGACCAAACCATGTAGGTGTATTTGAAGCCTACACTCAGATTTAGCATATATCCTGTTTGTACATATCCCATTGGCCAAAGGAAGTCACAAAACCAAGCTCAACATTAATTGGATGGAGAAATAAACTTCTCTCATGGGGGAAAGTTGACATAGTAGGCAGAGATTCTGATGGGGAGGGGAAGACATTTCTTAACTTCAACATCCCAGCAAGCCTCTCCCAGCCTCTCTGAACCAAGTGCACATTTGAATACCTATTTGAGGCTTGAGAAACAAATCCTTATTCTGAACCATGATGAGTCCTCAGATTCTCTTAAGGGGAGAGCAAAGAGATTTATTAATTATTCTGAGTTCAGTTCCTTCAATATATCACTGTAATCACTGCATCAAGAGAAATTGGACATCACCAAAATCAGGGGCTAGAGACAGAGGCGAAAAATGAGACTGTGTCATGTGAATGAAGCAATCTTCCTTGTGACTCTGAACCAGTCTTAGAAGAAGGTTTGCATCTTGGCTTTCAGGAAATCCTGGATTAGTGGGCAAATAGATTTCTCAAGGTTCTACCCTGAAGGAGAGTAATGCATGCCAGGAGGGCATACACCCCATGTTGCTTCTTCCTTCCCAGGTGGCCCAGTACATAAAGTTTGAGATGCCTGTCCTTAAAAGCTTCATTCAGAAGCTCCAAGAGGAAGAAGATCGTGAAGTAAAGAAGCTGATGCGCAAGTAAGTGTGGTCACCAGGGTTACGGGTTGGATTTCTTTATGGAGGAACCCTCAATGACAGGGGCCTCTCTCTATCCAGGTGCCATACAGAGACTGCGCCAGGTGGCTTCATGAGACCGGGGCTTATGGGCCTTCTTTGGGGGGCTACCTGTTGACAAATCCAAATCTCAGATGGGAACATGAAACTTAAATGTGCAACAATACACTTAGAAGCCTCAATATACTTAAGGGCATCAAAATGTCTTTCCCCTCCTTTTATGGAAGAACTTCAAAAAGAAGATCTATGTTTTTAAATCTCTGTGGGGTCACTTTATCCTGTGTATTACTATTAGTCCATGTCATATTACTATAACAAAACACCCAAGACTTGCTAATTTGTAAAGAAAAGAGTTTTGTTTAGCTCCGAGTTTTGAGGTCCAAGAGCATGGCACTGCTTCTGCTTGACTCTGGTGAGGGTCTCATGGTAGATGGCATGACAATGGTGGGAACATGTGCAGAAGGAATCACGTGACAAGACAGAAAGCCAGACAGGGATTCAGGAGCCAAGCTTGCTCTTTGTAACAACTAGCTCTTTCAAGAACTAACGGGGATCCTTTAAGAACTACATCAATCCCTTCGGAGAGCAGTGTCCCTGGTAACTTAAGTGCATTTCATTAGGCTTTACCTGTTAAAGGTCCCACTACTTCCCAAGGTCACCACAGCAAGGATCAAACTTCCGACATGAACACTTGGGAGACACTCAAACCTTACCCAGACCACAGCTTCCTGCTATCTCAGGTGTGTGATCAGGCCCCCGGCAGCAAGTGGATGCCCACTCAGACAAGGGTCCTTGAGGAGCGTTTGGTGAAGGGACTATTTACAAACACATGGCAGGGTCTGGGGTAACCTCTGGGGACAATGCAGTCCCTGGGGACAAGTGTTTGCCTCCATACCTGAAGGAGGGAGGACAATCAGGGCTGGCTGAGATCCAAGGTTCTGGAAACCCCTGGACTGTTACCTTAGCAGTGCAAGTGGTCCGAGCCCCCGACCTCTAAAATCCTTTCTTTCTGCCCTTCCTCCCTTTCTAACATTTCTCTTCTGGAAGTTTCATTTGGCTTGAAAAAAAATCCAGGAAAGCTTCTTTCTGGGAAGGATTTTCTGATTTCTTTGCCATGGTTAGTCACAGAATTGACTGCACTTCATAGCGACGGTGGAACAATTGATTGATTTTTTTTTTGCTACCAGAAAATAAAGCCAAAGCTATATTTGCGGTAACTGATGACAGCATTTACATTTGGCTGAACACTTACTCCGCTCTAGACTTTAAAAATAGCGGTGTTGTGCAAAACCTCAAACACGAGGAGTGTGTCCCATTTCACCCAGCACCATAATGCCCAGTCTGGTACCTGCAGTGCCATCGTTCAGGGGCATCATGGGGAAACTGGACTCACCCACAAGCTGTGGACATCCCTATGTACTAGTTGCTATGGCCTCGTCTACAAAATGCAGGTACAGGGGGCAGGTTAAATATAGGAAGTTGCTGTTTTGGGAGCCCCTCCCCACAAAAGGCTTAAGTATTGGCAGTTTCATGTTCCATCCTAGATGAGGGCTAATGAGCTACCGTGCATCTGAAGTGCTAGGCTTGGTGCCTTGGGGATCGTAAGCACTCAGTTAATAGACCGCTTATTATTATTATTGTTGTTGTTGTTGTTTTCACCTTTCCCTCCTTCTTTAGCCAGACGTTCTAATCATAGTAACATAATCTAACTTGGGTTTGACCTCTTGATTTCCTCTCATTCTGATGTGGAAATGAACCTAGCAATGAAGTGGCTAAAGAGTGGGCCAAAGACGGAGGCACAGGGACAGGCCTACAGTGTCACCCGGTGTCACCTGGGTGGTGGAGAAGATCACCCGAGGGTGGTGATGCTGGCTGGCCCCTCCCACAGGCTGTTTCTTGCTCCTAGGTACACCGTGCTCCGGCTGATGATTCRGCAAAGGCTGGAGGAGATAGCCGAGACCCCAGCAACGATCTGAACCATGAGAACAAGAGGATCCAGACACCCCAGGGGTTGCCGTTGACTTGAGACGATCCACAGGAAGCTGGGTTCTTTCCTTCCATGGAAATGTTGTCATGCAGACCTTTGCAGCRCCTGACCAGCCATTATCTGCTCCCTGAAGCAGGATGAAGAAGTCAGAGGACAAGTCCCCATCCCTGGATCCCTGCTCTCTTCTCTCTCACTCACAAGACTTTTGTTCTAAGGAGGACCCAAAGTGTGTGTGCGCGCTCACATGCATACACAGGATGCATGTCCATGGGCCTCCCTGATATTTTCACATGCAATTAAATTCCAAGCCACCAGCACAAGTGCCATGAGGCTGGCAGATGAGCTGTTGATGGGCAGGAAAGTCAGGGGAGTCCCTATCCCAAGGGCTTTCAGCTAAAGAAGTGATTTCTCCCCTCTGGTGCCAGGGGGAAGCCACACATATCTGCCTGTCTCTGACAGGGGAAGAGTCCCTGGAGCTCACCATTTGGGGGGTTTACATGTTAATAGAGATTCTCCTTGTTTGTCTAGAAGGATCTATGGATGAGATCCTTGGAAATTAATAAAACAACAGCTTCATACCTTTGGGGCAAGTCTGATGGAAAGAAAAAGATAAACCTTCACATGGGATAGATGCAATGAGTGTCCGTGAGTTTTTACACTGGAAATTTTGATTGTTTTAAATAACAGAGATGAATGTGCAATGCTGTGTGGATGCCCGGAAAGAATGGATTCTTCCTCCGTGCCACCTCCGTGGCCACCTGTGTCTCTGCTTTCCAAACTGCCAACTCATCTCTCCGATGCTTCCTTGTGCTGAAGGAAAGTCTCTTGAATCAGTGGTCTGTCTGGCGGGCACATGGCACTGCCTAGTGGGTATGCCCAGGGCTTGTTTGGAGATGGTGGCCAGGAAGTTTCCAAGCTCTATCCTTCAGTCTCAAGAGAAGGGTAGAGGTCACCTGCAGAAATGACAGGTGCCTTTGCGCCCCACCCATCTTCACATCAACGAGTCTTCCTGCACTTGGAGCCGGGCTGTGTGTGTTCGTGGTCAAGACCTTACTCTTCCCAACCTCTGGATTCTTGCACGTTCCCTCACCTTGGATGTGGAGATGGAACCCCAGAGTGAGGACGTGTCCTGCTGYCCACTGAACGTGGTCTCGGGGAAGCTGCCTGGTGAGGGTGCCTAGAGAGGACAGAGCTTCTCTTTCAGCTTCTCAGCAGCCACTGTGCGGATCTTTAGAGCCAACCTCCCTGGGGGGAAAGAGCAGGGGCAGTGTGTCCCCTGTGACCCCAACGAGGAAGACTGCCAGGCAGCTGGGCACCTGTGTGGCTAATACTGTTTATCTGGAGGGAGAGACAGATRTTTGGAGCCAGGTGTTGGGCTATGGAGATCAAGCAAGCAAGATCTGGAACTTCTAACAGAGGCAACTCTGGAAGCTTACAAGGGAAGGGGCGAGCCCATCTCTTTTCTACCTCCTCTCCCAGGACCGGTTTGGGGAAGGAGAGCCATGGCTGGTGCCTCCCACAGAAGGTGGGCCTCTGTGGCAGAGCTGTTGTGGCCCTAGGCACCTTCCCATCCCCCATCTGCACTCCAGGCCTTCTCTGTGGCCTATTTAAAAGGCTCACAGCTGTGGTCTCACTATGGACTTCCAAAAAGATGGCATGCTGCCAGCAGGCGCTTTGCAGGTGGTGGTGGGGATCTCTTAGCAAGTTTACTTCCTCTGCAGGGCCAGCGCCACCAGACCCCTGGGGCATGTGGTAGAAACCCAGAGGGGCTTAGGCTCAATCATACATTTCTGCAAAGTGCACAGAATTGGGGGAGGGGGGAAACGGGGAGGGCTTGTGTGTGGCAGTGGGGAGAAGTTTCCTTTGTTACAGATTCAAAAGAGCAGTTTTGTGAATGCAAACAGAGAGGTTTGCATTTGAGAAAGGGATTTGGAGAATTTCTCTCCTAGTTATTTTTTATCATGAATGTTCAAAGCCTTTCGCTGCCCCAATAATTCTCCTCTGGGAGCTTGGGGGGTGGGAGAGAATTTCCACAAAGCTAATTACTAACCACTAATTCTTATAGGACAACTATTTCTGGTTCATAAAAGTTCTTTGTAATTTGTACTAGCACCGCAGATGATGATGGTGTTAAATATGGAAATGTTGCAAAATGCTAATTTGACAGGACAACTTGCCGAGAAGGTGATACCAAGAGTTTTAAAGATGGGGTTTTGGAATAGAAGTGGGGGAAAAGTACATCCTACACCATCCACTTCCACTAACACACTTTTCTGTTTTGGCTCATCCTGTAGAGATGGTTTCTCATGTAACCTGATCAAGAATTTTGGAAACTTGACCGGGAGTGTAGCTCAACCTAGGGCGCATACTTAGCATGAATGAGTCCCTGGGTTCAGCCAGCACCCAAAACAAACAAATAAAAAAGAACCCAAACAAAAACAGAATTGTAGAAACCTTTGAAATAGCAGCCTCAGCACAGTGTGGACCGGATTTTCTCACTGGTATCACATGGCCTTGCTGCTTTGAACTCCTCAACTTATTTGTGTGGGTTTATGTAATTGTGTGCAATGAACCTGAAATTGTGTGAAGAACAAAAGGCCAATGTATAGGGTTCCCCCCCTCCCCAACTTGTGAAAAGCAGTTAAGCTGCATCTGGCTTTTTTTTTCTTTTTTCTTTTGGGCAGAGGCTTATGTTACAAGGTGATCAAGTGAAGGAAAAACCTGAATCTGTCTGACTGGGCCGGTGGAATTAAGCACAAGGTCACATTCTCGGTGATCACTTTAGTGGGAAAATTAAATGGACGGGTGTTATTTGGGAAGGGGCTGAAAAGCACAAATGACAGGCCTGTGCGAGTCAGGGAGGCATGTGCGCCCTGATCTTTGGGCTGGGTGGATTTCAACCTTGAATTGAGGTTAAGGTAAGAGGGTCTCAGGACATTAGCCACCCATTCCTGAGACAAGTGTGGAGGCTGGAGGTCACTGTTTCCTTGAAGACAAGCTGGTTCAGAAGCGTCAGGTGCTTCAAAGGGGAAATATTTGCATCTTCCTCCTTATAATGCTCTTCTCAAAACCTCCCCATAAAGACATTTTATCAGCATATCCATGGCAAATGATAACCCTCCAAAATCTGTTCTCCGTGCAAAAACATCTTGGTGAGAATTGCTTCCTATGGAGTTGGGAGACTATTGCAGTGTCAGGAAACTCTTAAGAAAAAGTCAAGAAACTCTTAAGAAAAGAAAAGCTTTCTTATTTTTTTGTACCAGGGATTGAACTCAGGGGCACTCACCATTGAGCCATATCCCTAGCCCCTTTGGGTATTTTATTTAGATACAATGTCTCACTGAGTTGCTTAGCATCTTGCTTTTGCTGAGGCTGGCTTTGAACTCTCAATCCTCCTGCCTCAGCCTCCTGAGCTGTTGGCTTTACAGGTGTGCACCGCTGCACCTAGCTGAAAAGCTCTTTTTTTAAAATGTCAGAAACCAGCCTAAAGCCACATTTTATTTCAAAGCTCTGTAACACCGGAGAACTTGATATCCCAGATAATGTCTCTAAGATAGAAGTTTCTGTGTGGACAAGGGACTTGCAGTGTCTCAAGTGTCCAAACCATGACATTGGGAGTAAGATAGAGAGATTGCCTGGAGTCTCTCTTCTACAACAGCATGCCTGCATTTTTGGGTGTCTACTTAAATTGTTTTACACAAAGCCTTGCTCAAGTCAGATAAGATAGGATCTCCTAAATGTAAACACCCTTCTTTCAGACCTAAGCACCCCTTCTTTCAGACCTAACCGGAAGTGTTTACTCTGTCACAGGATGTTAAAGTGCCCCTCTGCCTGTCCCCACCTTTTAACTAAGCACAGAGAAGCACAAGCTGTGAAGAAAAGCCTCAGCTTCCCTTTGGGGTCTTCCTGGCAGATCACAGACCTGTTTCCGGGCTGATGGTTTCTGATGTGTGGTTACTAGTGTTTCTTAAGGGTTCCCCTCTTGTTTGAGTTCTGTGAAGTATTCTTTTCCTAACTTGCCTTCCAGTCATGGTACCTGGCCTGTTCAATGTTGGATTCTGAACTGATAAATGGATGCATTTAGGCATCTTAACATAATTTGACAGGGCCTCAGTAGGGAGCCGAACATTTTTTGTAACCTTTTTAATATGTTTTAATGCACCTGATTTAGCTCTTATTGAAATAAAGCACTTTTCAAAGAGAAATCTGTCTGTGGGTGGTTCTGTGATTGTCTATTGGAAGGAGAGTTCTGTGCTGGGAGAGAGTAGTAGTAAGGTCAGAGACAGGAGTGGGAAGGCCCCCTGAGAGGTAAGTTCATTTTCTTCCCCCAGAGTTTATGGTTTGAACAGGCCCAGATCTGGCTGTGATGTTCTTAGTCCATTTTCTGTTGCTTTAACAAAATACCTTGGGTGATGTAACTTATAGAGGGTTTGTTTAGCTCATAATTTTGGAGAACGGGAAGTCTAAGAACATGGAGCCAGCATCTGCTCAGCATCTGGTGAGGATCTTCTTGTTGCATCATTGCATGGCAGGGGGCATCCCATGTGGGACAAGGCAAGTGGGCCAGAGAGCTCAGTTTAAGAGGTTTTTTATTTCTGGTGCTGAGGTTGAACCCAGGGCCTTGTGCCTGCTAAGCATGTGCTGTGCCTCTGTTCTATATTCCCAGTCTGAGAACTCTTGTTAACAAAGCCACTCCCTCAATAAGCCATGAACCCATGAGTGGATCAATCCATTCATGAGTACAGGGCTCTAATGACCCACTCACCTTCCAAAGGTTCTACCTCTCAGTACTGCTGCCTTGGGGACCAAGTTTCCAGCACATGAATTTGGGGGATATGTTCAAATCATAGCATGTTCCAAATAAAAAGTGAAATGAGTATATCCTTATGAGGCTCCAGTTGAGGCCCCTGGGGAACCAGCAGTCATGGAGGAAGGAGCTAGGGACTGCCGCATGGTGAGGCCAATTTCACTCAGACGCACCGCTGGCTTGTTAGGACCAACTCTGTGAACCTTTTTTCTAAGACTTGATTTTTCTCACCTAAAACAGCCATGCCATCCTGCATAGAGCTGGAGACTTGGGTGTGCTTCTGTTGAAGACAGCCCTCTAGTGGTCTCCAAGGGTAAGGCTTTCAGATTGCAGCCCAAGTTAATTTTTTGTGTCAACTTGGTCAGGCTATGGTACCCAGATATTTGCTCCAACAGCAAACTAGATATTTTACTGTGAGATTATTTTTTAAAGATGATATTAACATTTAAATCAGACTTTGAGTAGATTGCCCTGTAGAGTGTGGGTGGGCCTCATGCAATCAGTGAAAGATCTTGAGATAAAAGACTGAGGACCCCTGCAGTAGAAGGAGTTCTCCTTCTGGCCTGCTTTTGGACTTAACTGCAACACGAGTCACATGAACCAAGTCCTTAAAACAAATTTCTTTCTCCATCTACATAAGTGTGTGTGTGTGTGTGTGTGTGTGTGTGACTAATACATATGTACAGACAGACATCTATATCTGCAGTTTCTTCACTTGCTAAACCAACTGTGAATCAAAAAAATAATTTTAAAAAATTCCAGAAGGTTCTTAAAAGCAAAACTTGCATTTGTATACGACCAGCACTATACTGCATCCACACGAATGCAGAGGTGTGTGGACGCGCGTTCTGTAGCTCCTGCCGTTCACAGATCCTCAGTCTGTCCCCAGCACTCATTAGAGCATCATTTGTCTAATGCATTGTTCATATATTATGTAGTTAGGTCTGTGATGGCTACATCTGTACTGGACATGTACACACATTTTTTTCTTGTCATTTTTCCCTAAATATTATAGTATAATAACTATTTACATATCATTTACATTGTCTTAGATATTCTAAGGGATGTTTTAAAGTCTACAGGAGGATGTATGTATGTTACATGCAAATACTATGCTATTTTACTTAAGGGGCTTGAGCCTCCATTGGATTTGATATCTACAGAGGGTCCTGGATCTAATCCCCCATGACTTAACAGTTGTCTTCCTAGGAAACCTGGTCATGTAGCATAAATAATGACCATCATAATTTGGCCTCTAAGTAAAAATCAAGACAAGATTTTTTTTTTTTTTGTACTTGGGATTGAACCCAGGGGTGCTTAACCACTGAATCACATTCCCTTTTTATATTTTATTTAGAGACAGGGCCTCACTAAGTTGCTGAAGCTGGTTTTTAACTCTTGATCCTCCTGCCTCAGCCTCCTGAGCCACTGGGATTACAGGCATGCGCCACTGTGCCCAGCTATTGTGAAGTTTTAAACACAATTGAATAGGTTACTAGAAAGTTTAAATACAAGCAAACACTATTAAAAATTGAATTTGGGTAAAATTGACATTGATAGTTTCATTTTAGAACCATGCAAAATAGAAAGTATATCTTGCCATTTCATGTTTAGCATATAGGTATATAAGTTTAACACGTAAGTGTATAAATTAACTTTATGTAAGGAATAAATTACTAGTATTGATACTAAGGAAAAACCTCAAGAGAGACTTTAGCTTCACTTGCTCTTAATGGACTTCAAAATCACTAACTTTGGAGGTCACACAGCTGGGCAGTACATTGTGAGTCTCCCACTAGCTTTGCTATAGATAGCACCTTTGACGTGTGGGTTAAGATGATAACAATTGCCTGGGTTATCTTCAGGGACCTGAAGGCCAATTTTGCTGAAAACACTGACCCCTCCACTTGGGCCTGCAGATAGATGAGCAATGGGTGACTGGAACAAGAGGCTTGGCATCTCTGTTTTCTGTTGTGTGTATCTTCTTTGCTGCCTTAGCCTTTGAGTCAGATGCTGCTCAGCTCTGCATATGGACATGAGGAACATCTGAGAAATATTTTTTCCAAAATAATAATCTAGGATTAACTTGATCTAGACTCACTCGGTCTCCTCCTGCTTCAAAGCTAAAGACACCAACCTGTTGCCATGACTGGAAACACCAGACTACCAAAGGAGTGAAAAGAGGAGGCACCCAAATTCCCAAAAAGAACATGAATGTGCCTCCGTCCCCTTTAATAGCTTATCTTCCTCATTATCCTTATCCTATATCTCTAACTCCTCAACTTTTTTTTTTGTCTTTTTGGTGGGGGGAGTATCCAGCCCTATTTTGTCTAATGCAATTTAGAGACAGGGTCTCACCGAGTTGCTTAGCAATTTGCTTTTGCAGAGGCTGGCTTTGAACTCATGATCCTCCTGCCTCAGCCTCCTGAGCCGCTGAGATTACAGGTGTTCACCACAGCTACTCCTCAACTTCTTGGAGTTGAGAAATTGATCTGCAAGCAGAACTCCTACTTCTCCATTCTTTGGTCACTGAATAAACTTGTGCTGTCAATACTCAGCATTTGGTTTTGGTTTTTGTTTTTCAAAACTTGAATCGAAAAATAATCCTGCTGTAGGTAACAGCATATACCCTGTAAGTATGTAAATTAGCTTCAGAAGTTTTAAACCATGGGCCCCTTGGTAGGAACCATAGGTCCTGGTTTGCTTGGAACTGTTCCACTTTATGCCTGTTGTTCCAGTGTAATTATAAACAGCACCCCCTCTTACTATGAAATGCCCATGTGGATGGTAAATACGTTCCTTCTACCCACTGGCCAAAGAGCAGCTTACAATTTTAATGAGAAGTTTTAAAGAAATAGTCATAAGTTTCATTGAAATGCTGTTTAAACTTTAGGATAGAACTGAAACCTCAACACATGCTTTGATAGAATGCGACATATATTTTATATGTCTTGTTAACTCTGATTTAAAAGTTCTTGAATTAGAACATGTGTGTGTGTGTGTGTGTGTGTGTGTGTGTGTGTGGAGTTTTAAAATTGGACACATAGTCATAAAAACTCATGGCTTTGGCTTTTATTTTTTAATTTGAAAATATATTGGGCCAGAGATGTAGCACAGTAGTAGAATCCTTTCCCAGCATGTGTATGAGGCAGTGGGTTCCATTCCCAGAACTGAAAAAAAAAAAGTATTTATTTTCCAGCTTTATTGAGGTATAATTGAGAAATAAAAATAAATTTGTATATATTCAAGGTGTACAGCCTGATGACTTTGATATGCATATATATTGTGAAGTGATTACTACAATCATGTTAATTAACATATCCATCTCCACACATAGTCATCACTTTGTATATGTGTGTGAGGACACAAGATCTACTCTTAGCAAATTTCAAATAAACAATACAGTATTGTAATTAAAATAACCATACTTTACATTAGATCCTTCGCACTGATTCATATATATAT